GGATGTTGGCCTTTATTCCAAAAGGGAATGGAGGATTAAAATAAGATAGACTAGTTAAAACTATAGAAAGGACTAGTGATACCACAAGTAGAATAATGTGAAGTTTTGGTCCCCTTATTTAAGGGAAGATATATTGGCACTGGAAGCAGTCCAGAGAAGGTTCACTAGGTTGATCCTAAGTATGGAGGGATTTTCCTGAGAAGACCTAGTAGGTTGGGCTTGTACCCACCTGGCTGGAGTCTTGAACTAGGGGTCAGTCTTAAAATTAAAGAGGATTCTTTGTTCTTTCAAAGCACTGCAAATCTTTCCAAGTTTCTATCCCAGATGGCTGTGCCAATTTGCTGCCAGACACAAGGGTCCCCTGTCATAGCTTCCACAGTATACAGAGAGTCTTGGACCACAACCTCAACTTCCGGTCTCAACACAGTGCTATGCTTCCAAGCCAAAGTATCTGCCTTTCTAATTTACTTCACCTTTAGTGCAGCAAAACCACAGGTCTTTTCTCTCCTCTACTTTACCAAACGCCAAGTATTGCAAAACCCAACTGTAATGATGCCAAATTCCAAGCTCTTCTCACTTTTTTGAATTCTAGGAATCTCTCTCCACAATACTGCTTAACCTCATGTTCCCTCAATGCTGAAAAATGTCAAGGTGCTCATCCAAATGTTACAGAAGAAAGGAAGCCATCCCAATTCAACAAAATTCCAGGAATACAGGACAATCTAAGGACCTCCAATCTATTTCAGCAAAATTACAAGAGTATCCATCTCACCCACCCAGTATTACTCAACCAAAGAACGAACAGCAAGGCTACCCACACCTTCGCTGATCTTGCAAACTGTAGGAGTATCACAATAGTGCTGCTAAATTTCAGCCTCAAAGACCAGTAGTTATCATTTTCTCAGTGCTGTCAAATACCAAACCAGCCTCTAAATTGGTACATTTCACTTAGGATCTTTTAGTTTATTGGCGACTTTTCCAAGATATTAAATAACCTTTATAGCTTTAAATGCACAGGCAAAAGAAAACAATTAAGACTGCTCATTTGCAGCTTTCAAGAAGTGTACAACTCGACTTCCAAAGTATTACCATAAATTTCCGAATACTGGATTATAAAAATGCAACCGGAATTGATTCTGTCAGTGAAATAAACACTCCTATTATTCTGAGAATATCCACTAATTCACCCCAAGCGACATGCGAACTTATATGGCATTCTGGTGCTCTCAACCAGGAACTTAAGCATTAAAATTCCTTCTTTTTTTGCCTACTTTGCCTCATGACAAACAAAAGAACACTTGATTATTTTAGGGTTAATTTACCCACGTATCTTTCATCAACTTAAAACATTTCATGTTACATGGAAGCCACATGCCTCAATCAGAAGTACTTATTCCACCAAAACTACATTTCTTTGAAGAACAAAAACTCAGTAAGATTCATCTGAGGATGAGAAAGCAAGTTAAAGAGGGTTAAATAAAACAGGCAAATAATGTTGCAAAGATAAGTAAGCCTGAGGACTGGATGTGTTTTAGAAAGCAGCAGAAGGTGACAAATGCATTGATTAAAATGGGAATAATAGAACTAGAAATAAATGAAAATATAAAAACAAGTTATAAGAATAATTACAAGTTAAGTAAGGAGCCTAAGTTATTTAGTATTAGCAGACAGTGTACTGAAAACACTTACAGAATGAAAATTCAACAAATCCCCAGAAACTAATTGGTCTTTTTACTGGGGCTTTCAAAACAAACTGCAGAAACTTTGGATCTACTGTCTGTAATTTTACAATATTCTTTGGTTTTGTCAAAAGATTCCAATGGACTGTAAATTAGTTAATATAACACACTATTCAAGAACAGAGGGAGAGAAAAAGGGCACTAAAAAGGTTACATAGTGTGGAGCTGGAGGAACACAGCAGGCCAGGCAGCATTCTAGGAGCAGGAAAGCTGACATTTCGGGTCAGCACCCTTCTTCAGAATATTTTCAGAATAGTTTGGAATGATTTTCTGAAGAAGGGTCCTGATCCAAAACGTCAACTTTCCTGCTCCTCTGATGCTGCCTGGCCTGCTGTATTTCTCCAGCTCCACACTGTTATTTCTGACTGCAGTATCAGCAGTTCTTACCATCACTAAAAAGGTTAGTTAGCTTCACACAATGCAGTTAGAAAATCATAGCAGGATCGGATGGTCAGATTTAACAAAAAGAAACTAAGGCTTGACAATTTTATTAAGAGATTTTTTTGAGGATCATACGGTTAGTAATTTAGGTTAAAAGGAAACCAGCACATGTACTATACTTGGAATTTGCAAAAGATCATTCAATAATGTGCTACAGGAAAGGTTAATATGCAAGGCAAAAGTTCACGGAATTTGGATAATATATTAGCATAGATTGAGGATTGGGTAACGCACAAGAAGAGTACATATTAGCAGGATATTTTTAAGTTGGCAGGCTGTAAGTAGTGAAATGCTGCAACAATCAGCGTTGTGGCCTCAGCTCCTTACAACCTTTATGAATGATTTGGACAAACAGTCAGAGCAACATATTCAAGTTTGCTGATGATACAAAGCTAGTTGGGAATGTATGTTAAGGACCCAAAGAAACTGTAAAGAGATACAGACAATTTAAGTGGGTGAGCAACAAGGTGGCAGGAGTACATACTGTGTAAAGAGGGAGGCTATTCACTTTGGTAGTAAGAATAGATTTTTTACGAGGTACAGAACTTCTAAATGTTGATGTGTGGATAGATGTGGACTAATACAAGGAACTCAAAGTTAGCATACAGACATAGCAAAAGCAGATTGGTCTTTATTGCAAAGAGACTACAGCAATTACATAAGCAAGACCAGACTTGAAGCACTATGTGCAGTTTCAGTTTTCCTATTTAAGGATGCATTGGAGGCAGTATGGCAAAACATGACTAGACTGGTTCTTGGGATGGAGTGGCGTGTCCATTGATGAAAGGCTGAGTGAATCGTGCCTATACTTTGTGGATCCAACTGAAACATATAAAATTATGGAAGGACATAGAGCAGACACTGAGAACTGCTTTCCTTAGCTGGGAAGTCTAAAACCTATGGCACAGAATCCGATTAAGGGTTGATCACTTAGGACTGAGAGGAGGATAAATGTCTTCTCAAAGGATTGTGAATCTTAAATTCTCTACCCTACTGGATATTCCATTGTTATTTAAGTCTGAGATGAATCATAAATCTATCAGGGCATCAAGAGCTATAGGGAGCTGACTAGAAAGTAATGGAGAATGTCTGGACAGCATGGACAAGTTGGACCAAAGGGTCTGTTTCTGTACTGTACATCACCACTACTCTAAAGTTGAGGTAGATAATTCTACATAATTCTATTGAATGGCACAGTAGACTTGAGGGATCATATGGTTTAATTCTGCTTTTTACATTTTGAGTAGAGTGCAGAGGTTTAACAAGTAAATTTATGAAATGGCAGTGCTTATGGAGAGGGATATCTGTTTGATAGCACTAGGGACGGCATGTAGAATCTGTTGTGAGACAGCAAGACAGCGCTAGGATTCCCAGGGTTTGTCAGTATTGGAGAGTGAAGAGTCCCGAGAGATAGCAACTCTCAGGAGGATGCTAGGGACTTGGCACAGAAACAAGTCCTAGTGGGTGCAGAACTATAGTATGAAAGCAAGTTCCAATTCAATCCGAATGAAAATCAAGACTGACTGCAACATCCAATGGAATTGAAAGGGTCAAATAATGAGGTTGAGTGAGAGGAGGCAGATGGTCAGCCAGAAAAGATGTAACTTTGATAGGAACTGACCGGCAAGGAATCTGTTCCAATAAGCTCCTATTCCAGTCATCTCGGTAACTGGTTGCATCCCACTCTTCAGGACATGCACAGTTGGCAAATACGGAATTAAACTGTATATGTCAGCTAAGTAGAAAGGTGGGGAAGAATGTGTTTGTAAACTTATTGCTAAGCTACAAATACTGCCATTTAGCATCATTACTTTTTGAACCTCCGTGTTTTACCTATTAGACTATTTTCACATAGCTGTTATGTGTAGGTTTTATTTTGGTGTAATGAAAGGCTGAGAAAGAATATATGGCTAAAATTTCAAAGCTGTTTTGAAATATTCAATGAGTTCAACAGGTCCTTTGAGGAATTTGCACATGACCAAACTGCAAACAATAAATGTGCAATAAAATTACTAAATTTGTAGGAGTGGATGAAGTTATTGAAATCTGTCAACAATAGAGGTATTTTGGAGACGATATTTGGAAGTTGTGAGATGAGAAAATTGTGTCTATAAGTTTTAATCATTACAGGGACATGATATGAAGAAAAATGTCTACGTAGAGATGAGTGAAAAAGGGAAAGAAGTAAACATATTGAATGAATTGAACTCTATAAAATTAACAGCAATTTGAAATCTCTACCATTTGAGGGTACTTTTAGTGCAATGCTGAATCCAATAAAAACTAGCATAGAATTTTCCCGAAAATTCCCTGAACATGCTGATAGCTCAATAATTAGCAATAGCATTACATTCAATCCAAGTATGAGAATTAGAAAGCTGAAAATAAGCAGATATACAAGGTGCCAAAGGGGATTGATAAAGTAGATGTAGAGAGGATGTTTCAACATGTTGGGCAATCTAGAACAGTCATAGTTTTAGCAAAAGGCATAGCAGATTTAAAACAGATGAGGAGAAGTTACTTCTCTCAAAGGGTCATGAAACTGGGAGATACAGTACCCCGAATGGTGGACACTGGGACAATGAAAAAAATAAGAAGAAAGACAAATTTTTAATTAGGAATGGGTTGAAGGGTTATGGAGAGTGGGCAGGAAAGTGGAATTGAGGCTGGGATGAAATCAGCCATAATCATATTAAATGGCAGAGTGGGCTTGAGAAGCTGGATTGCTTACTCTTGCTCCTAGTTCTCATGACTTACACGATCAACTTGTGCACATAGGTCACTGGCATCACACCAAGTCATCTATCGAGCTTAACTTACAGTAACTCCAGTCTAAAATGGCACACCTCAACACCCACTTCTCTTGGCAGAAATTGGAACTACTCCAATACAATTCTTCTTCCTAGATTGAAAGAACACAATACGCATAAGGGATAGAAGTGCCATAAAACGTACATGGCCAGGTTTAATAAACAAATGCTTCAACAATCTGACAGAATTCTTCATATTAAAGACGATCTTTTGCTAGAATTTAGGTTTTAGTACATTCCTTTCCAGTTTCTAATTTCGCATGGACTAAAATTTTGAACAAGATGATCTATTCACTTCATCCACAAGAAACTATTGCTAACTCTATCGCATGTCTGAGGAATATAAAAACATATCTAGAGGTCTCATTTTTTAAACAGCAAACTGTAAAGTCTATACCTAGGCAAAATGAAACACCATGACAATTTATGTTTGCTTCTTAATATCAACACACAAAGTTTGCTGACAGCTGCAAACCTGCTCCTTTGTTATATACCTGCTGTTTTGAGTGAAATACTTTCTTTGCAACACACTGAGAAATGTCAATTTTGCCCTTCTTGGACAATCAAGTTGCAAAAGCCAGACCTAAAAGAAACAATGAACCTTGTAGAGTGGAGTAGTTGTAAGGAGGAATATTGAAAGCACCCTTAATTCCTTAACTAACTTTCAGATTCTAAACCATGCCACTCACACTGCCTCAAGGTTTCTTCAACCCCAAGTTGAATTACGATACAGCTCAATTATGGTGTTTCACATGATTATTGCCAAAGTGTTGCCAAAGCATAAAATTTCGAGATTCAGCTATTCATGGGATAATCTACTTATGAGAAGTCTCTTGATGAAAACCTCAAAAGGATAGGCTAGAAATACACCGACATACAAAAATTAGAGAAGAAATGCGTGATTAGTTGAAACACCACATTCTTCTTGTGAAGCTTAAACTTCTTTGGACTAAATCAAGATTCATTCCATTAAGTTCCACAAATTTGGAAACAGCTAGTATATAAACAAGCCATGCTGTGAAAGTACATGGCATACACATATATTCTTCTCTTATTGACTAGAAGTCTGGTATTTGGGTTGAATATTTAGATAATTTACAATAGCTTTTATTTACATATCACCTCGCACTGAAAGGGACATCTATAAGCAACTGATTGCCTCAAACTAGGTCAAGGGAACAAGAAAATGGGTGCAAGAAACAAAAAAAACTGATTTTAAAATAGCTTTGGAAGAAGTTGCAGAGAAAAGTGGCTGGAGTTGGGGGGCGGGGGTTGGTTGGAGGCCGGGGCGGGAAAGGGGTGGCGAGGGTATTGGGGAAGGTGGGGGTAGCGATCGGGGACGGGGGAAAAGAGGGCATCGGGGGTGGGGGAGTGAGGAGGAGGAGGGGGGCAAGCAACTGGGTGGAGGAGTTGTCATCCTATTATGAGAGTGAGCGGGCCCCACCGCTTGAAACTCTCTCGCAGACCTCAGGGCTGAGGATAGGGAGTGGGCGGGACTCCCACCCCAGGCGGAGGCTCCAACCATAAGCACCCACCCAGGCAGCCCCAGCGGCCGAGGTGGGGGGGAACCCAGTCGAGAGGCCCCACCTTCTCGGCCCGGGAGACCGTTAGCAGAAAGGGGTCCCGGCTCGGCCCCGCCCCAGGGGCCCAGCTGGGTCGCTCCGCTTTACGCTGCGGCTTACGGGTCCAAGCGTGGCCCTGGCACTAGGCCAGGCCGGTCCGGGGCTCGGGCTCGCTCGCTCACTCACCCCCCTCTGTCTTTGCGGCTGCTGTCCGTTTGCGGCGCGCGGATCCGGCGATGGTGGAACGCGGCGGCGGAATCGGCCTCACCGAGCACGTCACAATGCCCTCCGCTTCTTCAGCCAATTAGCGGCCGAGCTCCGAGAGCCTTGTCCTCACCCACCCCCCCTTACACCCATAGACATTCCAGAGGGCGAGGCGAGCGAGGGGGCGGCAGCGCTTTGTGCTGGCACTCAGAGGGGTAACTCGCTGAGCTGGGTTAATGCAGCCAACGTACACTTACAGCTTGCACAATCCAAATCCTCGATCTTCTTAGATTCTACCGCGAAACATGTCGACAAATGCTTCATTCTATGAAACACTGAAGCACTTGTCCAGAATGCATGATACATTTGCAAGAAAAAAAAATTACTGGTGTAAATCGATTTAATTTTGATTTGGAAAAGCTTTTGCTTTTTTAACCAATTGTTCAATATCACTATATATGGACAGCTGGAAGTTTTTCCTATTTCGGAAAAAATTATCATTCAGGGATAAACATGTTTACATTTTATGATTCTTTTTTCTGTTCCTCGAGGGATTTGCATTACAATAGCCAACTTTCCTCAATAGCGCAGAAGGTGGCCATTAGTCTGGTCGTGCCTTTGCCAGCCCTGCAATAGCACCTCTCACTCCTCCATCCCCGTTCCTTCTCACGTAACTCTCCTAATTCCGTTTCAGTTTAAAGACCACAATTGAATCAGTCTCTATCATTCTCAGGTGTTCAATTTCAAATTCCAAACACTCAACTACATTAATAAAAATCTCACGACACTGTTGCTTCTTTTGCTGACCGTCTCCTTGGTTGGACAGATTTTTCTTTTTCTCCTATTCTTGGGACAACTCACCTCACTGCAGTCCTCCTAACCCTGCACGTAAGAGATGTACACGAGCCCCTTTCTCCAGGTCCCCACCCAGTTGCTGTGGCTGCTGCAGCCTTAAAAAGTCGAGTTTTTTTTTGTGTTGCATGCAGTGACTCCTTTGATTAGAAACCCTTCCCTTGACAGAAAGGATGCATCATCCTGTTTCTCTTCCACTAACCCCCCGCCACCCCGCCAAATGTTCAGGGAGAACGAGAATGGATTTGTTCTGATAAAGAGCAATGGACAGACACTTCATGATTCTAAAACAAAGAACTGCAGTTGCTAGAAATCTGAAACAAAAAAAATGTCTGGAGAAACTCAACTGGTGTAGCAGCATCCGTGGACAGAAAACAGATTTAACGTATCGGATCCAGTAACCCTTCTCCTTGTAGCGCTTCACTCCAAACCCAAGAACTGCCCAGCAAAAGTGAGAAGTTTCCATCAGTTAATTTAGTTTCGCTGTCCCCGCAAATTCGGTCAGATCTACTGTCTTTTTTTTGACAGACAACATCCGCAGTATTTTGTACTAAGATTTCTCTTTAGGTACTGAACAAAAAAAATTACGCAAAGTTTTGATAATCAGTTCTATTTCCTTATTTTCCCAGAACTGATTGCAGGGTGTGCATTTTGCTTCTTTAATACTTAATTATATTAAATCCAGTCTCACCACCCCCTTTATTACTATTACCTTTATTATTGCCACAGTACATAGTATGTACATACAGTACAAAAGCAGGCCTTTTACTACAATAGGCCTTATCTCTATAATCCTCTGACTACCCTTTATATAACTACACCAACATACTCTTCTAATCATTTTGTCCTTCTCTTGATCTAGCTTCTGTTTAAATACAATTCTTTTCGTCCCAATTGTTCTTTGTGGTAAAATTAGTCACATTCTAACCTTTATTTTTCTTTTCACTTCAGCCCTAAATGGTTCAGTCCCAGGTTACTGGGGTTATTGGTGAATGGTTTCAAATCAGTGCTTCCCAAACCTTTTCCCCGGAAGTTTGAAAATTGTCACCACCTTTCAGAGAGAATTGAGAGAGCCTGTAGGGGCGCTGTGACAAAAGGAAACCATTAGAGGGGAGCACAGCTGTCATAACTTAGTTGGAGATGCAAAGCAGTCTTTGGTGCTTTCGAGCTTACACAATGTAGGTTCTGACCCCAGATTTTACAAGTCTTGTTCTAAACTCTTACCAGGGTTGTATGGTTGGTGGAGTTTGTTTTATTTGTTCATGGGAGGAGAGGCTCAGTGGCTAGGCATTTATTTCCCATCCCTAATTGAAAAGAAGGCAGTTAAGAGTCAACCACTTTGTTGTGGGCCAGGAGTCACATGTAGGTCAGACAAGGCAAAGATGGTAGACTTCCTTTTCTCAAGAGCATTAATGGACCAGAAGGGTTTTTATGCCAGTTGATAATGATTACTTGGTCACCATTACTGTGGCTTTTTATTTCAGACTTTCGTTGAATTCAAATTTCACCAGCTGCTACGATGGGATTTGAATCATATTTCACCAGAAAATTAGCTTGTGATTCTGGATTACTTGTACAATGACATTACCACTACCTGATTTCTAGCCTTAGTATTAGTAATATGTGCCTCTTAAAATTGTCAAAGAAGAGTAAATAATTCTAATTAATTGCCAATTGTTATTGAAATGCCAACCCACCTGTCTGGCCCAAAAATTAAATATTAAACTGTGGAGTTTGATTCCTTTGGGTAGCAAATTGTTCTTAGAAATTTTTTTGTATTAATTTTCCCTCCCTTGCAATCCAATTTTACTTCTTTGTTCTTCAGTGTGTTCACTTTTAATTTGCCCTTCTCAGCTGTTTCATTTTTTTCCCCTCAACTTCAAATTGCATTGGTTCAGGAGGTAACACTTGCCTTTTAGAGCTCCCACATGTCTGTGGCCCTCAACATATTTGTCAATTTACACTTCCAGCAAGGTACGGAACAAATAATTTGAACAGAAATTTCCGAGTGCAATTGGGCACAGTGCAAGGTATCACCTTCCAACAAGATTGCTTGGTGACTCAGTGGTTAGCGCTGCTACTTCATAGCGCCAGTGACCCAGGTTCGATTCCAGCTTTGTTGTACCTGTGTGTGAAGGTTGCACATTATCCAGATGTCTGTGGGGGTTTCTTCCCACAGTCCAAAGATGTGTAGGTTAGGTGGATTGGCGTTGGTATAGTGTTCAGGGATGTATGGGCTAAGTGATTAGCCATGTGAAATTTAAGTTTGTGTCTGGGTGGGATAGTCTTTGGTGTCTCAGTGGATTTGACAGGCTGAACGGCTTGCTTCCATACTGTGGGGATTCCATGAAGATTTGGCCTGATATTTCCAATCATGAGTGAGTAACAAAAGAACATAATTTTAAGATATGGTAATTTAACAAAAGAAGGAGAGATTGGTATGCCAAGAAATATTTTCTCCAGTAAATTATGGCCTGGGATGTACTGCACAAAATGGTGATGTAATCAATTTCAATACTACCTTTCAAAAGTGAACTGTATGTACAATTGGAAAAGATGATGCAGGCTATAGTAAGGAACAGAGGATATAGACAAAATTGATTTCACAGCTGACAAAAGTAGAACGGACTGAATGACTTCCTTGCAAGTTTTATGCCCAAGCCACACATTGCTTTTAATAATTGAGCTGTAGATGGTGATCTGGTGTTCACTGGTAAGCTATCCACCCAGTAGTGGAAACAAGGTCACATCTCGATGGGCAGAGCATTTTTTGGTGTAACCTGTTAATTGTTCTTTTTGGACATTTAGAAACAAAAGTATTGTGCACCATAAATTGCCAGAGAAACTCATAACAGTATGGTGAGCATTAGGGGGCACATAGGACCTTGGTGAATGGCAAGACTGATAGTGCATCTCATTGGCCATATAATTTAAGGATTGGGGAAAACAGTTTCTTTTCTGTTCATTTGTGAGATGTGGGCATTGCTGGCTGGCCAGCAATTCTTGCCCATCCCTAGTTGTCCTTGAGAAGGTGGTGGTGAGCTGCCTTCTTGAACTGGTGCAGGCTTCTTGCTGTAGGTTGACCCACAATGCTATTAAGGAGAGAATTCCAGGATTTTGACGCAGCGACAGTGAAGGAAAGGCAATATATTTCCAAGTCAGGATGTTGAGTGGCTTGGCGGGGAACTTGAAGGTGGTGGTCTTCCTATATGTCTGCTGCCCTTGTCCTTCTACATGGAAGTGGTCATGGGTTTGCAAAGTGCTGTCTGAGCATCTTTGGTGAATTTCTGCAGTGCATCTTGTAGATAGTACACATTGCTGCTACTGGGTGTCGGTAGTGGAGGGAGTGGATGCTTGTGGATGTAGTGCCAATCAAGTGGGCAGCTTTGTCCTGGACGGTGTCAAGCTTCTTGAGTGTTGTTGGGGCTGGACTCAACCAGGCAAGTGGGGAGTATTCCAGCACACTCCTGACTTGTGCCTTGTATATGGTGAGCAGACTTTGAGGAGTCAGGAGGTGAGTAACTCTAAAGCTTTTGAGAAGGTTTGTAGCTCAGGTTGTGGATGAGGTTGTAGACTTGTTCGCTGAGCTGGTGTGTTTGATTGCAGATGTTTCATCACCCTGCATTGTCAACATTGTCAACGTGCCTCCAGTGAAGTGTTGGTGTTCTTGTTATTTATATGCCTCGGTTTGCTGGGGTGGTTGGCATCGCTTCCGGTTCTGTTTTTCTGTGGTTTGTATATAGGGTCTAGTTCAATGTGTTTTTGATGGAGTTCTGGTTGGAATGCAAGGCCTCCAGGAATTCCCTGGATGTTTCTGTTTGGCTCAATCTATTATGGATGTGTTGTCACAGTCGAATTTGTATCCTATTTGTATTTATGAATAATGCTGTTATGTCAAAGAATATCATTATTTCTTCCTCTTCTACTCTAATGTCCTTGATGTTGAGGAATTCTTGGGAGGAGTGGATGGAGTGGGTAGTGTTGTCAACTAAGTATTTCAGTTTCTGTTGTAGTTCTTTTGCTAGTCTATATGTTGGTGTGCCTGGTAGTGAGACAAATGGTCTGAGGGGGACCCCTGGCTTGTGTGTCTTAGGGAGTCCATACAAGTGGGGTGTGTTGGATTCGTCTGGTTTCATTTTTTGGTAGTCTGTCTTGCTGATATCTCCTGAGTTGTGTAATTTCTTCAGGATTGTTTTAATTCGGTTCTGTAACTGTGGTGTTGGGTCAATCGCCATCTATTGGTAG